CTACTACTACTACTACTACTGCTGCTGCTGCTGCTACTACTAATAATAAAGATAGTACTCCCTACGGTACTATCTTTTTTACTACTACTACTGCTACTGCTACTGCTACCACTACTACTACTACTTCTACTACTACTACTACTACTACTACTACTACTACTACTACTTCAACGCGATTCACTGTTTGCCGACATGATGTATTGCTCATGTAGAGAGAGTAGTAGTCATACGACTTTTTTAAAGTCATTAAAGAAATTCCCGTGAAAAGCCGAGAAAGTCAGGTTAATTTTGCTTGGAGTAGATTAACTAAACTTAGATCAAGCGCAACAAAAGTGAACGCTATATGCTAGAATTTATCATTATTCAACCAAGTTACTAAAAATAAATGTGGTTAAAACGTTCTGTTTGAGTGTTTCATCATCGTTGTGAGAACAACAATAATAATGACAGCAACAGCAGTGCGAGCGAAATGAAGGGTCTGGAATATTGGAGACGACTCTCTTTCTCCTCTCCCTCTCTCTCTCTCTTTCTCTGGGCTAAGTCGGTTATTCGGCTAGGCCAACCCCTTTCCTCAACCTTTCTGTCTGATGCAAAGACCTCCCTCCAACCAACACGCCACCGCTAGAGCCTACGTAAACACGGATCGCGTCAGCGAGCGATTTGATTGGCTGTTGGTCTCGTGACTCAGCTCCACGTAGCAAGCGTCGGCAAGATAAAAGACCCAGTCTGCAGGTGGAGACCGCTAGACTGTATAGACCAGGATGGATGTATGAAAGAAAAAGAGTGAGGTTTTCCGAAAAGGCTATATGCCTAACGATAGAGGCAATGGTTGAACGCCGTGATAAATTGAAGTAAACAAGAGGATAACAAAGGATTCAGATCCACTGTGATTTGTTAGATTTGGTGACGGAAATTGACTCGGACAACGCAACTTCTCCACAGTCAATTTCATTCTACATCGTAGACAAGTGACCGACTAAAAATTTGTTACTGATCTGCAAATCCCGACAGATAGAATGAGAACGGTAAGTTTAACTGCATTTTGGTTTAGTTTTAGTATCAGCCTGTCGCATCTTCGGATTGTATTGTTACATGCAAGGGTCATGTTTGCAAATAAAGTTCGAGAGTGCATTGTTTTGATTTGGCAGCCACCCTGCTTGCCTTGCGAGAACCTTCCTCGCTTTGTTTGGTTGTGGGGTTATTTTTAGAACAGGACTTGCCCCGGCAGGCTTAGGTCAGCACAACATGGTGGTGCGAGACGAAACTGCTAGCCTAGGTCTATCGATTTCAGTTTGGAGGACCAAGCATTGGTCGAACGTTTGTCTAGATCTAATTTGTTTGCTCGGCCAGTTGTAATTGTCTAGAATCTAGATATAGATCTAGATATAGATCTAGATCTATATATCTAGATTATTTAAAAAGATGGAAATGTGATGTTACCCTGACAACACTGTCCTTGAATGATGGTACGGTACACCAGAATCTCTCTCATGACTCATTGCTTTGTTTTTATTTTAGTTCTGATAGTCACAGAAGAATGTGAATCGGGAGCGAAACTGAGAGACTTAGTAACAAAGGCTAGGGTCTATTCATAGTGGGGAATGGATTTAGAGATTGCTGGTTGACGTTTGGTGGAGAGGAGGTTTGAGCCGTTTTAGGGAGTAACAAAGGCTAGGGTCTATTCATAGTGGCAGTGGGGAATGGATCTAGATCTAGATCTAGAAATTTGCTGGTTGACGTTTGGTGGAGAGGAGGCTCCTACCTTTATAATCGTCCTAAGGTTACTGTTTCTGAGCGCAGTATTGGATCTAGAGATCTAGATCTAGATCTAGATCTAGTATTGTCAATAGTATTTAGTAGACTTTTTAGGGGATGGATTTTGGAGTAGCTAGTTTGGAGATAGATTTAGATCTAGATCTAGATCTAGATTTAGATCTATAAATTGTATGATAAATAGTGGGTAATTTTCCTTTGAATGTTGCGGGGGGGATGGGGGTGTTAGATTTTTGTATGCTGCCATAACTTTTTTTAAAGTTTATTTTTATAACCCTCAAGTTAAGAATTCACAATGAATTATAATGAATTTTTTGTTTTTACAGATTGAAGAAGTTTCTCTTCAGCGATCTTCGGCTGTTCGCCCCAGCAGTTTGGAATTGGATAACGTACTGACCTTGGATATGGATTGTGTATTTCCCGACTTGGATGAAAATAATAGCAATAACAACGTCCTTCCAAACAATGGTGGGACGCGTAACAGCCGAAAGAAAAGGCGAAGAGCAGCCATAAAGAAATTTAGTGGTAAGTTTTGCGTTTTTGTCAGTTATTCAGTCTTTCTGGGATTGGTTTTTTTTGTTGTTGTTTTTGTTGGGGGGTGGGAGTTGGTTTTTACCTGGGGAGGGGGGGGGAAGTAAGCTGTTTAAAAAATGTCCCAAGAAATTTTAGAGAATGTAGGGGACAATATAAGTATAACAGATTTGAGATAGGTTGCAATTTGTTAAAACGAGTAAAAGGGTTTGAATAAAAGAAGAAAGGGGGATGGATGTTCACATGAAAGATGATGCCAAGCCTGTACCTAGAAATTGAAGACTCCTGAGGCATGATGACAGTATTGTACAGAATAAGAATAGTCTTAATGTTGTGTTTGAAGTTGTTGGAAAAAAGTAAAAATGGTTCTAAATCTCTGAAAGTTTTTGCAAAATTTTCAAGTAGCTTTGCAGAGAGAGGGGGGGGGGATAGAAACTTCCTACACTGTGTTTAATTGTTCCCAGTTTTATTATTAATAAATATGATTATATACTAATTCATGCCAGTGTGATGATTTTGAAGTGCAAGAGTTCTTAAAATGTTCTTCTATTCTACAATCCTCAGATTTATACGAGGAAACTGGGGAATTTTTGGGAAATGGATCATATGCATCAGTGCGTACATACAAAAACAAGGAAACTGGAAAAGAATTTGCCGTAAAGGTAAGTTTTCTTTCTTTATAAAATTGTTGAGCAAAAAAAAAATATTTAAAAAAAAAAAAAAATTGTCTCAATGAATTTTGGGTTACATTTCTAAAAAGTTACATTTATAAAAACTTATATTATTATATTTTTTATTTTGTTATATTTTTTTAAAGGCTTGAAATTGTAACAAATGCTTAACATTTTAGAAATTGATACCAAAATTGAAATCTCTTGTAAAATAAGATGTGTACGCATAGTTTGCTTTCTCTTGGATGAATCGAGTTCATGAAATATGTTCTTTGGCAAAAGAAAATCTTTTTTTTTAATTCAATGGAAAAAGTCTATGAAAAGGAAGAGTCAGTTAATATTACTTAAGGTTTTTTGTTCAACTCTCTCCGTGAAAGTTGTCGTGTTTTCTTCCATTTTCTTATTATTATGTTGGACAAATACAATTGTCGTGTGTGTTCATTTCTGATATTTGTCCTAGTCACTGTCAGTTTAGCCACTGTTTCGTCAGTTTCACTTATTTATTTATACGGTATTTTTCACTCTTTGTTTCCCCCAGATGATAAATAAGTGTACGAGTCTCCAACGCAGCAAAGTGTTCAAAGAAATCGAAATATTTCATCAGTGTCAGGGTAGTGAGAACATTCTGAACCTGGTGGAGTACTTCGAGGAAGATGATGTGTTTTACCTGGTCTTTGACAAGATGGCAGGTGGCACCCTTCTCAGCAACATCGAGAGCCGAGGCCACCTGAGTGAGTACGAAGCTTCTCTGGTGGTGAGAGAAATAGCCCGTGCCCTGGATTTCCTACACCACAAGGGCATCGCGCACCGAGACCTGAAGCCGGAAAATATATTGTGCCAAAGAGTAGGGGAGGTGGTTCCTCTCAAGATCTGCGACTTCGACCTAGCCAGCGGCGTCCCTTTGGGCGGCAACAGCTCAGACGGGAGCAAAACCCCGGAGCTGCTCACCCCAGTCGGATCTGCCGAGTACATGGCTCCTGAGGTCGTGGACGCTTGGGTCGGCGAGTCCTTCTCCTACGATAAAAAATGTGATCTCTGGAGTCTGGGGATCATTCTGTAAGTACCTTACTTGTTCACCCTTTTTTTTCCACTTTTCCTATGATAGTAAGAATGGGTTCCATATATCCAGAAAGGCCTGCTGCAATGTGAATCATAATAATCAAAACCATAACAGAACCAAGCCAAGCCTTTTTCTTTTCCTTCTACCTATCCTATGCCTAGTATTGTTCTGGATGTTGCATAATGAAATAATGTGAACAATTAAGTTTCTGGGGGGGGGGGGGGGGGTACTGTCGGGGAGTTTTGGTGGTTAGGTGCACTGTAATATTTTTTTACAATTCTGACTTTGGTTCATGTTTCTTCTCCTGGGTCTTTGCTTTTGCTGGTTTTAAAATGAATTAATTTAAAGATGATTTGTATTTCTTGTACTTTAGTGAACAGTGTTTTTACATTTTGGGACGGAATATAGGGGGATGCAAAATCTCAAATTTTTTTTCTTCGGTCATTGAGGTTTTCCTATTACTGTGCTTTTCTTTCAATTGGAAAATAATGAAAACTTTTTTTTTGTAAAGAGTTGACAAGGAACAGCTATATTTCACTGGTATTTGTCATTGTTATTTAGTTTTAGCGCTGAATAAGAAATAATTTCAAGAGAGTTTTGGTTTTTGACATTTGAGCTGAATGACCAGTAAAAGCTAGAACCATTGTTGTTGTTGAAGTTCAATTATAATGCCATCACGTATCTTTATTATATATATAGATCAGTTTCTCACGTTGTTTTGTTCTCCCCCCCAGGTATATAATGTTGTGTGGGTACCCGCCGTTCTACGGTCAGTGCGGGGAGGAGTGCGGCTGGGAGCGGGGCGAGGCGTGCCAGGACTGCCAGGAGCTGCTCTTCACCTCCATCCAGGACGGCATGTACGAGTTCCCCCGGGACGAGTGGCAGTGCGTGTCGGAGAGCGCCAAGGACCTGATCCGCCACCTGCTGGTGCGCAACCCGCGCAAACGCTACTCGGCTCAGGACGTCCTGCAGCACCCCTGGACCACCACGCCCGCCGCCGCCACCCCTCTGGCTACCCCGCACATCCTCACTAGGTAAGCACGGGGAACCTTCATTCATTCTGAGGCGTCTCATCTTATCTTTAGAAGGGGGTTTTGCGGGAGCTCTACTAATGTTGTTGCCTTTTTTCCCTATCAAATAGCTATGAGTGGGTGGTTGGTGGGTGTTCTGGTGTGGTTAGCTATGAGTGGGTGGTTGGTGGGTGTTCTGGGTGTGGTTAGCTTCTTCTTTCCTATCAAACGTCTTCTACTTCTATCATCTTTATCTCCCCTCCTTCTTCTTTTTTTGCGTTTGTTACTCTCTTGTACTTGCGTACTTTTACTTTTTACTTTTTATCTTGTAACACCTCTAAACTCTTAACTAAAAAACTAAAATAGCTACGATTCTTATTCTCTCCTACTTCTTTTGTTTATTTTTTATTTTTATATATTATTCTCGTGTAACACCTCTAATCTTTGGCAATTACATGATCTGTTTGTTTAGCACGTGGCTTAAGATTACTAGTGTGAAGGAATATTTTTGTCAAATTGATAGAAAGGGATTGGATTCAGCTGGACTTGTTCTATTCAGCGATCTTTGGCATGTTTTTTGTCATGCGTTATGTTTTGGGCAGTGCATATTAATTGTCAACTGGTTTCATGGTTCTTTTGTTAGCCGTTCTTTTTGAGGTTTCATGAAATTATGTTTGGGGCCCTTTTTGAATGGAGTCCTCAATAGAAAGCATGCTAGAAGATGATGTGCTTAGTCAATTTATTTAAAAATTGTATTTGTGCTGTATGATAGAAGTGTTATTTATGTGTGTTATTACTTCTTTGTCTCACAGGAACAACAGTACAAAGGACCTAGAATCCTTTGCCGAGACTGCCATTTCCATCAACCGCATGATGCAGCAGCACCTGATCATATCCGGGGTGCCCCAGTTCATGGTGGGCAGCCGGTCGGGCGAAGTGAGCAAAGTGAGCGAGGAGAGCAGCAGCGGTGACGACGAGGAGGGAGCCCACAGCGATGAAAACGACATTGATTCCGTCCTAAGCTTTGAGGTTGGTCAAGGCATCAAACTGTCCCCGCCGGGCCTATCGGCGCTGGCCAAGCGTCGGGCCGGGAGCAGCGACGGCAGCTTCTCCCCTTCCTCTTCCCACGACTACAGCAGCGGTGGCGGCTGCAACAAGCTCAGCAGCCAGCGCAGCAACAACCACCACCGCAACCACCACCCGATAATCACCCGCTGTGGCTCGGGCATGGGCAGCGTGGACAGCTTTTGCATCAGCTCCGGGAGCTGGCAGTGAAGTCTACACCACCACCACCACAACAACAAGGCAGTAACTCTGCTACTACTACTTCTACTGTACTTTACTCACTCACTTGCCTGGGTTTCTCTTAGTTACGCTCCTCTTTTTTTTTCTAGTTTCTCTTTAGTATAATATAACATACAACATAATGTTTTAAAAAAAAAAAAGAAAGAAAAAGTGGTTCAAATTTTGATTTCTAGCTAGCTTCGTTTTTGACTAATCGAAAGAACTTCCAGTATTTGCTAGAAAATTTGTTAAAAGTATAATGTGTATTATTAGGTCTCTAGTAAATCGTTTGCAGCGTTATTATAGCACTTAACAGCTTGTCACATTATACGTTGTCACACCCGTACATAGATATATATATATATACGAGGAGGCTCAGTTGTTTCACTTATGTACTCATTTGAGCAGAATGAACCCCCAGGTTTAATCATTGAATGGGTTTAGATGAAAACTTTCTCAACAGTTGTGGAAGATAACTTTTAGGCAAGATCAATGTGTGGAAAAAAATAAGTCTTGAGTTTCCGTGGAATTGCGTATGCTTGGTTCATATTGCAAGGCCCTGACCAAAACGGCCCAGTGGGTCAACTTTTTGTATGTTTTCTGGTTCTCTTTTCCTCCTACATTCATGTTCACAAATTCTTTCTATATATGAATGTTCTTTTTACATTATCATAAGGTAGCAGTGTTAGGGATTTTTTTTTTTTTTTACTTTTTACAAAAGTTTGTCAAGATTTTTCATGTGCGCTTTAAAATTGAAAACTATTTTGAGATTCCTCTGTGAAGGATGAGCAAATGCCCAAGTACTGTATTTATTACTTGAGGACAGACTGTTTCCTACAATATTAAAAAAAAAAAAAGAGAGAAAAAACTACTTGTGAATGGTATTCTTACCTCACCTAACTTTGCCCTGTTTTTCTTTTGGTTCTGCGGAACACGTTACCACTTTGTCCCCTGCTGGCCATGTCTCAGTTTTAATGGAGGCAGGGGACGTCTACCCACAGTTGCTGTTCTCCTTCAGTATCAGTTGATTTTTGAACCATGCTGTAATGGCCATTTGTTCATGTTGATTCTTTGTTCATGACTTGTTGGGTTTTTTGTTGTTGTTATTTTTATTACATTTGTGGTCTCGGCTCTAAGGGTTTTCTTTAGGTCTTTATGTTTTATTATTGTTATTGTTCCGTTAGTCCTCCCCCCCTCCCCCACGAAGCCAAATAGTGTTTGATGTTTTAGTTCATTGAAATGGAAATTTTTCAGTCTAAAGCCCTGCGCCTTTGGAGAAAATAAGGGGTTGGGGTTTGTTTTCATGTTTCGGGGATTTAAAAAAAAATTTTTTTTTCTCTGTTTTTGTTTTTGTTTCGATGTTTCACTCAAGTTGAAATCAAGTGTACATAAAAGCCCATTATCTCACCCAGCCTCAGTGAGGTGAATTTTTCCATTTTTTAATTTTTTTTTTTTCATTCCATAAATCAGTTGGTGGTTTTCAGGAGCTTGTGGGCTGTCGTTCACTTGCTGTTGTGAAAAACTTACCTTAGAGTGTTTCCCCCACCCCCATCCCACCCACCCTGTTCTGTCTAGTGTTATTTTTTTGTCCTCGTAAGCGTTGTCTCATCTCAACGGTTATTCTTTTCCCATCAGATCATTCATCCATTCCGTGCACTTTTGCGTAGAATGAGTTCCTTCAATTGCAGGATTATGAGAAAAACAAACTTCACGTTTAAAAAATGTGGAAAAAAAAAAATCCATCCATTATTTATTTTTTTCCCCCCATGCTCTCATCATACCTCCTCTCCCCTCCCCTCCTCCAACCAACCAACCAACCATCATCATCATCTCCTCCATCTCAGCAAGATTCCTCATCCTCAGTCTCATTCATTAGCCTTGCTACTACCCCCCCGTCTCCCCCCTCATAATCCTGAAACCTTCCATTGAAGGGTACCCACTACCTTGGTGCGTGTGCCATCGTGTCAAGTGTTCATGGGAAGAATGCCGAACGACATATATGTGGTTTGAATCGAAAGCTGAATCATTCCAGGTGTTTTTATTTAGTAACGCGTTGACATATCCAGTTTTGTTTGTCAAATGAACACAACATTCTTGTCGGCGCGGTTACGGGATTAGCTCTACTTCTTTACGTTTACGCCCCGACGGGGATTGCGAGACAAATTGTTGTATGCCTACAGGAGTATTTTTTCTGTCACTGAACTCGTGAACGCTGAGTCTTTCAATCAATGTGTCATGGAGATGCCTGCCGTGTTTTGTCATCTTTTTGTTTCCTCATCCAAATCTCTGCTCGTGTCCGAAGTTGTGCTGCTGTATTTTAGGGCCAGATTCACCCGCATGAAAATGAAAGCGAGTTTTACTTTTTTTCTTTTTTTTTTATAGGGGGGATCGAAAGTTTTTCTTTAATGATCACTCAAGTTTTCATTTGTTGCTTTGAATAGGAAGCATAATTATGTACATTGGATCATCTATATAATTTTATTTTTTTTTGTATTTTTCTACAAAAAATTTGAGTTAATTAATGTACTTTTATAAGGCCTCGAGACTTCAACAAGAGATCTTCCTAAAAGTGTGTGTGGTCAGTTTGACGAAATGTGTGCTAGCTAGTCAGTCACGTTCTATTCTCGTCTGTTTTGTTTTGTGTGCACAATTGTTTTAAAGGTTTGTGAGGTGTCTCCGGGAAAGCCATTGTCTTTTATAGGTCGCCAGTGTGTGTTGACCACTTGTATATTGTTGTAGCCTGGGACTTTTTGCCTTCTGGCATGACGTGTGTGTGTGAGTAAGTGTGTGTGTGTGAGTAAGTGTGTGTGTGTGTGAGTGAGTGTATGATGAATATGTGTGTGCACGTGTGTGTGTGTGTGTGAAAACATGTCCCATCGTGGAAAGGTGTTTCCGTGTGAGCGATGTATTGTGATATCCAATGTTCTCAAGAAGAACTGCGGAGATGCTGGGTTCTGTTGCGTACTACTCTATGACAAAGTAACCAATCATGTATTTTTTTGCTGTGGATAAAACTTACGATCTGCTTCGAAGAATTTACGGAACGGTAAAATTGACTGTGATACGAGACACCATAAATAGATTTATATATTGGCATTCTTTAGTGAACTAAACGTTGAACAAATTGTCGAAACTTAGATGTCGACGAAAGTTACGAAAGGAGATAACTGCAAAAAGTTTTCCAGTCAATAATGTCTTTGGACAAAGTGATAAATAAACTCATGGTGTGTCTTTAATTAATATTTGGCATTTATTTTATTTTTTAAGTAAGACATGTGTTTAGCAATGAAGGAAGAAAATGAATTAGAAGGAGAGTAAAGTGTCTGTTTTTCAGGGGTTTGTATTGTTTTTTTTGTTGAAAAGGGGGGGGTTATTGTTGGAGTTAATATCTATGTTTTGTTTGTTTGACTTGTTTATTTTCCTCCAACTTGCGAATGTGCCTTGGCCAATCTGAATGAATCTCTTATCATAAAAGACAAAAAAATATATGCACAAAGTGTGACGTGGTGTGAGTGGAGCAGGTTGAAAATGGCAGTCACTGTAAAAAGGGCATTAACCTGTGAGTGAGTGTGTGGCTGAATGAAGGGCGCAAATGACGACGATGAGTGTGTGAACCAAAAATTTAAAAAAATAAATTTGTATATTTCTACCTTGTTGCTTGTTACTTGTTACTACTAGAATTCGTTTTCTAACCATTGACGGCATATATGTATCATGTTGGTATACACGTTACGTTTTCTTTTGCTGTTAGAGATGTAAAGGTTGTCAACGAATGGTCGCCCCTTTCTGCCAAATGACTCAATGATGTTTGTGCAATTGCTACACCCACCCCCCACCTCCCTGGTTATGTGAGGGATTTTATTCCCCCCCAAAACAAAACTTGTCTGTATTTAGATGATAAATCAATCATTGCCTGTTCTAAGATATTGGTTCTTCTTTGTAGTAGGCCATTGGTTTAAATCATGTCCAGAATTTATTCCCGTGACCTTTGAGAAATACAAAACTGTGAAAATTATGTTACCCGCCCAAATACTTTCAGGCTTGTATAGGAAATGCCTCCTTGGGTTGATTTGTGTTCGACTGTTGTTAGTTTTGCCTGCCAGTGCGTGCAGAAGTTGAGCCCTGCTGTAGGAGGCAGGCGGGGATGTGTACATGATGTTCTCATGTTCATTACTTCCTGTCCTCCCCCCCTCCCCGTTCCCTCTCCATTTTTGTATCATGTCTATGGTCAGACTTCAGACCAACTTGTTACTTTTTTTTTTCTTTCTTTTTTATTTT